GAGGGATCACAGGTCAGCAGGGACAGGAAGTGAGGGATCACAGGTCAACAGGAACAGAGAGCAAGGGATCACAGGTCTGCAGGGACAGGAAGTGAGGGATCACAGGTCAGCAGAAACAGGAAGCTGGGGATCACAGGTCAGCAGGAACAGGAAGTGAGGCAGGAGCAGGAAGTGAGGGATCACAGGTCAGCAAGAACAGGAAGTGAGGGATCACAGGTCAGCAGGGACGGGAAGTGAGGGATCACAGGTCAACCACTCACAGAAAACCACCACCACTGCCACGGCATACTTTATCCAACAACGCTGTTCCTCCCAAACTGCTCCACTTACTGGGTATCCTGTTCAGTATTTGGGGGACACTTGTCACTAAGGCGGCAACACGAGGCTGTTCATTGAGGAAGGTGCTCTCCTTCCATGCAGCAACCTTCTGCCTCTGCCTGGGAAAAGACTTTGGAACCTGGGAGAGTAGCCTCAGTGGTTGATAGAACAGTGTGAGGAGCAAGGAGTGGGGACGCTGACAGGACTGAAAGGGGAGAAGGGAGTGACGGGCCAAGGCGCTCTCCTGAGCCCAGCACATGCCCTTAGCTTCACTGCAGTTGGCCGTTTGGCACCACAGTTTTGTGAGGTTACTCTTCTGTTTCTTCATCTGCTCACAAGGAAACTGAGGCTAGCGGGGCCTCCTTCTTGGGGTGCTTTTAAAAACTAGAAGGCCTATATTCTGTTCCTCTCAGAGAGATGGAAGGCTCTAGCACCAACTGTCCCCTACACCCCCACCCCTGCCTCCCTGTCTGCCATTTGGCTAGGTCTGGAAGGTTTTCCCCTTTCCAAAACCAACCTGGAGAGACCAAAATACTCCTGGCATCGAACTACACGTCAGCTTAGAGCTAACGTCTTCATTATCAGTTAACACCTCCGAGGGGTTAGCTGGCAGCCAGCTGAGGGGACCAAGTGGTGCCTGCTGAGGTGTATCTGGGTTAAGAAAGGCTGGGGAGTGCACCTGGCAGTTCATAGGCTCCCCTGGAGAGAGAGGTGATTGGACCACATGGGGGAAGGTGGGGGAGGAGAGCAACAGCCCCAAGAGGCCCGGGGTGGGGCTCAGAGAGGGGGCTGGTGTCTACTAGGGACCTGTTACACCAAGTACCAGGAGGCCTGTTGTGTGTCTGGTCTCCGGAAGGTCAGAAAATCAGCCACTCATGATCCACCCTGGGCCCAGCTGTCAGCAGTCACTCAGCTGAGACCCAACTCCAACACCCACAGTTCAGATCTGTCATCCAGCCCTTCGGAGGGGGAGGAGAGAGAGTGAGCCATCTGGTATCTCCTCCAGTTCTACAAGAGCCAGTCCACCTACCCTGCCTGGAGGCCTAAGGCTCCGTGTGCCGCCAGAGTCAGGTTCAAGGTTCAAGGCATATATAGGATCAGGGCTTACTAAGATAGCCCCAGGGGGTGCAAAGTCTCAGTTGCTTTTGCAGCTATGCTCTGGGAAGGGGACAGAGGGGACTGCTTGCCTGAGTGGGACATCCGTCCTCCCCTTACCTCTCTCTGCTCATGAATGATCAGTGTCTACAGGTGGCCATCACATA